TGGAGAGTGAAGCTCTCACCGCAGGGAACAAGATGCATATTTTTATTCATTTTTTGCCCTTCTCCTGGCCTCTCAATATTTTTGTGTATCAATAATTTAATTTTCTGCCCAGAAAATATTATCTTTCTTGTAGTGTGATAGTGTGTGACGTACACAAGACAATCCGATTCTATGAACTCGGTTGGTGTGGCTCTGCTCACGATCAAAGGGTTTATCGGTCATCTTTAGTACGTTTGTTGGTTCCAATCTTATTGATTGGGGTCAAGTCTAACTGACTTTTACCCAGCTCTTCACGAATCCTGCGGATTTCATGGAAGAAGATGAGTATCTCCTGGCAGATTCAGGTTATACTTTATCTCCACATGTAGTCACTCCATTCAAACGCTCTTCTGGTCGCCAATTAAGGGATAATCAAGAAGAATTCAATCTGGAGTTATCTCAGTGGAGGGTTATAATCGAACAGACTATTGGTATGCTTAAAGGCAGGTTCCAGTCTTTAAAACAAATTAGGATATTATTACGAGGAGTTTCAAGTGCGCAAAGGGCAAATGCGTGGATCCGTGTGTGTATAATACTGCATAATTTTTCAAAAGCAGGTGGGGAAGAGTGGCATGACAAGTTTGGAACTTTTGAAGAAGGCCTGATGCACTCAACAGGCAATGCAAGGCCTCCTCAGAACCTACCATCTGTACAAGCCACTGATGTATATGAATACAGGCAAGATACGACCAGGCGAGATGGTCTATTTGACGAGTTTATAGCAAGTCGACGGGGTCAAATAATAGGACATCTGTTTTGCTTATTTCTCAAAGTTTCAAGCGTTTGTTCCTGTTTTTTTTGATGTTAATCTTTTGTTGAGTTGTTTGAGTTTCCCAGCGAGATCCTCTCGATTTGACCAATGAGATTTGTTTGCTTTGGAAATACATGTTTTTTTGTTCACTTTCTATTTCTATTGAGCGAGCGAAATATGAACACCAATCTTCCGAATTGAGATTTTCCTCACTTGATAAATCAACAATTGATTTATCATACTCAAATTAGTAACAACTCTTCTTACGGGCCAAATACTCTGGATTGTCATCAGTCCAGCCATTCTTTTCTCTCTCCGCTTCGATGTCATTCTTTACACCCTGACCAGTTCCATTTAGCCACTCAAGACCTGAATTGAATGTCTTTTTGAGTTCCGAAATCTGTAAAATAGATCATCTGTGTCAGTAGAGAATCCAAAGGTTCACCTGATCACTTGAGACCTACCTTTCCTTCCACATTCTTTGCATTTCGGCCATAAAATCCGTGCTCAGCTAAGTAATCGATGATCTCCTCCGCTGTATGACTTTTCACAAGGGTCTTATCCTTGTACCGAGTCCAATTACCATAAGTCGTAATCCAGTTCAAAAGAACACTCATCGCCGTTTCACCCTTCTCATTTTTCTCCTCTTCCCAATACACTGGTGCCTTTCGAGTGGACACACTAATACTATCATCGGTTTCTTCTGTCTTTTGTTTCTTAGCTTTTTTTTTCGAATCGGTCTTCGGGACTTTGTTTGAAGTGGCTTTGCGAGTGCTTGATGACTGGGCCTTACCTTGTTTGGCCTTGGTAGTCCTTGAGTTCTTTTGAATTGTTGAGACAGGTTGTTGGCCATTTTGAGAGAGAGAACCCATCGAACTGAAAGAGGACCCAAAGGCAGTGGGTGAAATGAGGGTTGTAGGAATAGGTTGAGTATAAAAGTTAGGTGATCCAGAGTTCAAATTGAAACTCGATGGGTAGGTCTGAAGAGAAGATGGGTGAATCTGGAAGGTCAACGGGGTAATGAGTTGATTCTGTTGAGGGCTGCTTGGTTGGCTGGAGGTGGGAGTATCATCGTCGATCTGTTGATCCATGTTTCTTAGGCGGAGGATGTGGGGAATGGATGTATGCAGCAGAGGTACAGCAGACAGTTTGTGTATTGCGCTGCAGCAGATGTGTATGTATTTGTGTTTTTCCCAGAATGCCAGAACGCTTCCCAGAGGGTTCTGGCGTTCTGGGAAAAACATTCTGGAAATTTCCAGAACGATATTTGTGTACCGTAAATATTGAGGTCAAAAAAAGTTGAGTGCAAAATTAAATTTTGGCAGGAATTTCTCCACTTTTGCACTCTTAGAATTTACACTCAATAAGAAGTGCAAATCATTCGAGTGCAAAATTCCAAAGGGCTACCTCACAATTACAATTACACCTTACTTTTTGAGTGCAAAAAACTCTTGACTTGGGGAAAAGATCACTAAGTGACCCAGCCCTTCCCACATCACATACTTTCTCACCAAGACAACTTTGCAATACCTGCAGTGTAATTTTACAAAAGGACCACCCCCAAAGTCCAAATATACACACATCAACAAACTTAAATTCAACAAAGTCCCATGCTGCGTCTTGCACCCTTTGAGCGCAGCAAGGGACTTATGACAGACTCATACACTTTTGCTTATGAGGGGGATTCCTTTTTGTAGGGAAAATTTGTCCATCTTATAAAACATTTTCATGTGTCCAAGGATTTTTTCGAGGTAAAGAAATTGGTTGTTTGCCTCCTTGAGAAGCATCCATTCACCAAATAAAAAACTGAGGAAACCAAGCAATTCTTTCTCAGTTTCTTCTCAAAGTTCAGGATTTGCCAGTGTTTTCAAGGGTTTTGTTGTGTTTTTGAAAATCACAAGGCAATTATACACACAAATACAGGGCCAATTGGACAAAAAACTTGAACTTCAAGAGCCAGTAGAGAGAGGATTCCTCCGATTCCTCTGATCCCTTGGTTTTTTTTGATGAATCAATGCATCTCAAGAAGGCAAAGAAACAACTTCTTTACCTCAAGGAAATCTGATATATGCAAAAAAGTTTTATCAGGAGGCCAATTTTCTCCTGAAAAAAGCAATTCCCCTCACAGGCAGAAGCGTATGAGTTGGTCATAAGTCTCTCGCTGCGCTTGAAGTGTGCAAGACACAGCGTGGGACTTTGTTGAGTTTAGAACAAACTCCATTGGTGATGTAGGCCAGGCGTCTCCCAGACATATCCAACCAATCCAACTGGCATACCTCTGTTCTGATCTTCTTCCACCGGCAATTTGGCAAAGCTCCACCACCACCAAGCACCCAGACATATTTCACTGATCCAACTGGCATACCTCTGTTCTAATCTTCTTCCCCCTGCAATTTGGCAAAGCTCCACCACCACCAAGCACAAAGACCACATACCCTTGATGTCAACAAAACAAAGCATCATCCATGTCTCCCGTTTCTCCCAGATCCAGCAACACCCATCATCTCCCACATCTTTGATCCATCTTGCGCTTATGGTACCTCATAACTCTCAGAAGCCATTTTCACTTGACATCTATCTTGATCTAAGCAACACAAATGGAACTTACCACCCTGCATAGAGGCCCATGGACCCTCATTGGATCCAGCTCAATCATTTGACTTACCATCTCCTGAAAGCCGCTCTCAATCCCCCTCTCAAGAATTTGTCATCATGTTTTGGTTGTATCAAATTTATCAAATTTATCAAATTTGTTGACTCTATCAATTCTTTCAAATCAATAGTTTCTATCAAATCAATCAGTTTTACCTATTTGCTCAAACCCATTCTCCCTTTCAAAGTATTCAAATTCACCTTACCTCCTTTTACCATTCTCCAATGTCTGACTCTGAATACACCAGCTCATTGAAGGGTTGCTCTTCCCCTGAGCCAGTAGTTGAGAGAAATCCTTGAATTAGAATGTTTTTATGTGGAATTAAGTCCATGAGATCAGGATTTCATGAATTGAGCAAAACTTGTGCACAAAGGTTTTCTCACATGAGTTTGCCTTTGTCATGGGCCCAAACAACCTGAAGAAGTTGCAAATATGGAGTTTGGGGCCTCCCTTGACAACAAAATTCAAATTCAGACATAGTCTCATAATACAACTTTTGCATAAAACCACTCCATCACCTTCAAATTCATGCTCAAAACTTCAAAAACCCATCTCATCACATTGGTTTGCACAAAAAAACATCATAATCACCTTGAAGATGTTGCAATTATGCTGATTGGGCTCCCCGAAGATAGCTCTCTTCCTGTTGCCTCAGGACTTTTCTATGTCAGTAGTTTTCTTTACCGCCGGGTAAAGATTACATTTGGTGTAGTGATAGTCTCATAATACAACTTTTGCATAAAACCACTGCTTCATCTTCATATCTACACGCAAACCCTCAAAATATCACCTCTGGCTCCCGCCCTGCCATAGAACACACACATGATAATGGAAGGAGTGTGCCCATGAGCCCATATTTGTAGTCATAGATTGTACTATAAAAGGCGCACATTTTATCTCTATCCGACTTTACCCTACCTCACCTTCATCACACTCTTATCCACACTCAAAGCTTCAAAATACCATTTTTCACTCACACTTTGCCATACACCACGCACAAGGACATAGAAGGCTTGTCCCAGTTGACTCAGAATTTCAGTCTTTATTTCTCCTTTAAAAGGCGCACATTTCTTCTTTATTCAACTTTACACTAGCTCCCCTCCTTCACCTTTATATATACACATATATATGTTCAAAATACCATCTTTGGCTCCTGCTTTAATTAGCCATAAAACACGCACAACAACATGGAAGGCTTGTACCAATTAACTCACATATACAGTCATTTATCTACCTTTGAAAGGTGCACATTGGCTTTTTCTGCCTCAGAATACATATCTAGATTTAGAGGTGAGTTATTTGTATCAAATCTGGCATGATTGCCTGCTTAAAGGGTTTTCTCCCGCTTCACAGTCAGTACAAACTGAATATAGAAGAGGCTACCTCAGTCTATAAGATTGTAAAGTTGATCCTCCTTAGCACTGACTTAATTTGAGGTTAGATCCTTGCACAGGAAATGTGAAGACATGGATGCAAAAACCAGGACATCTCAAGCGTGGATACAAAAACATGGATATTGAATGCAAGTGATAGTCAATTGTGTTCAACATATAACATATGAGTAATGAAAAAATAACAGTGTGGCATCCAAGGAGCAATATAGTACTCAAAGGGAGATATGGTCCTCAAAGGAGTGTGATTGTCATTACACTCAAAAAGCCGGTCCGCCGGAGTTATCAGAGCACACGTTCCAACGATGCCATTACCAATGCCGATTCATCATTACCAGAAACCAAGCGCTCACATAATCAGGAGACTCATACAACATCTCGTCGTGGTCTTGGTTCTGCAGCATCCGCCAACACAGACGCGAATCATCTACCCACGCCCTCTGCTACTCAGCAACAACAGCCCCTACCAATTCACACTGAACCAGTGCAAGATATCCAAGATCTTGATCTTGATGACATTACTTTGAAGAACTATCATCAAGTCAAAAGATTCTGGCCTCTCAGACGCATCACAGACCAGCTTCAGCGTCAGAAATCATCTAACCACCAGTTGAGCGCAGAGGTGCTTGTTGAAGCAAAGGCGGTTCTTGAAAGTCTTGAAACTTCCCTTCACATGATTGCGATGGTTTCTCATGTTGATATTACTACGTTGAAACGTGCCTTGTCAGTTTATCTTTCTGTATTCAATCATCAACGTTGATCACTATGCTAACAAGATATTCTTTGCAGGGGCCTTGTCAGTGGCACAACACATGCCAATAATCCGTGGCATAGGTGGTTAAATTTTGCACTTGATGCCAACAAGTTTCCTAGTATGTATGTTTACTTATACTTGTCTGACTAGATGGCTAATCATCTTATGTTTATGTTATAGTTCCTACCCGAGGACACCCAGATTCAGCAGCCATTCTGGCAAATCACAATAAAGCCAACCACGTTGCCTATAACACACTCACGGTCAACCAACTTACTGTGTTCAAATCACCAGTTTTCTTTGCTCTTGGTGGCTATCCCAACTATTCAGCCATTTCTTTCTCTGACAACGCCTCTGGAGATACTTCAGTTCTTATTCCCGAGGTCCCCAAATTGAGCGAAGAGGACGAACTTCGATACCAGCTCATCTACGATAAACTAGTCAATACAAAGAAAGTGGCCAAGGATTGCGAGCTGAATACACCTGCAGCCTGTGCTAGTAAGGAGGAAAATGTTCTCTTTTGAGTTTCAAAAAAATTGCGCAACAGATGAGGTTTTCTTCAAGTCAAGTCTGTCTTCAGTTTGTTTCACAAATGTAATATCTGACACATTTGATTACAGCTTGAAAGTGATCATCAAATGCTAGGAATAGATTACTACATCATTGCATGTAGTAATAACACTGGAGGGGAAGGATGGTGTCGAGAACATAGTAGTCAGGAAGAGATTGTTCAGTGGGTTTCTGACAGGGCACAACTTCAGCATGTGTTTCCTGTTTATTGTCAACACGGATCAATTGTCGAAAAAGTTCAAGCCGTTGCTAGTCCAAAGAATGGAACTTTACCCGCGAAGCGGCCATCAAACAATCAATCATACATTGACAAGAGGAATTTGGGTGGGCAGCTCAATGAGCTCGTACGTAAGTTAAATTTAACTTTGTATTTCCATTTCTACTTGTAATCTTACAAATAATCCCACACGTAGTCAATCTTGTTGGAAAGGACGATTATAAGCCGTTCCCTCGCACACCGAATCCGATTGCTTCTCTCCAAGAACGCAAACTGAAGGTTGAAAGCGCTACCAACTCTGCACTGTCTAAAGATGATTTTGACAAAGGATTCACAGGCATGAATGCCAAGGCTCGCCGTAGTTGGCTCAGCGATCTGAAGGATGGTAAATTTAAACTCATGAAGGAGGTTGAAGTTCAACCAAGCAAAGGCAAACATCATATCACTGAAAGCCAATCTCAACCAAGTGGACCACCTCATACCACAGACAATCAGTCAATTGCTTCCAAACTTCAAAATTCCCAGCCTTGTGCATCAAATTCGCAAATTCCTCAAATTCCTCAAGTCATTGAACAATCAGGCCAGCCAAGCAAATCCCAAAAGGCTGAGCTGGCAGCTGAGGCCACTGCATCTGCGACTCAAGGTACTGAAGGTGAAGGAGGTGCTACCTGTGATCTTGCTTGACTTGTATAATGGCCATGATCACTTTCAAATCTTCCCACTTATTTCTGTTTTCTGTTTTTTTATCTTTCTTATTCTCGTCCAAAGTGTTCCTTGATTTGGTTTTCAAAAGTGTTGCTTTGAATGCTGAACTACACTTTGACCCAGTTGCTTGTTTTCAAACTTGAATGTCTGAATAGTAAATATACTATGTTTCAATCTTAAACCCACAAGAATTGTTGTATTGACTCCCCGTTCTAAGGTGTACCTGAACGGTCCACTCTCACGTGTGATTCCTTTGAAATTTGTTATGGATCCGGTCTTGGAGATATCCACCCCAATTATTTGTCACCATCTTGAAATCGTTCCTTTGAAAACAGATTTTCCTGGCGGTCAAAATATTGATCATAGTATGTACATATGTATCAAATTTACAAGATATTTGAATGGAGTTGCCAAAGCCAAGGCTGTGCAAGACATCAATTGGGCATGAGTGCACTATTGGGATCTATTTAAATCAAAATCTATTGTATGTATTTGACGTTCTACTACCTTCTACTACCATAAATTGCGCCTGAGAAACATACATAACATAATTGTAGTTGAACTTCAAATACAATTATGTTGAAATCATCGCCCCAGGACCCTGGCAAACCCCACCAAAGCCGGTTGACGTGGGAGGTATGAATTTTTGGGAAAAAAAAATTGACATGGGGTGTGACAGGTATGAATCTGATTTTTTCCAAAAAATGATGTATGAATTTCACAATCTCCAAAATCCGTGAAATTTAACGTAGATGTCACAGGGGTATGAATTTTGCTAGATTTGGGGGGTCAACAAAGACTTGTCCCGCTTAGATGCACGGCAAAGCTCAAAATTGTGTTTTTTTGAGCAACTTTTGACTGAAAAAATATTTTTCTCCAAACATGCCAGAAAAATTTGTCAAATGTGGAGGTCTGGGAGGTATGAGAACCAAATTTTGATTGACCACACCCCTGAAAACCCCCGGGACGCAGGTGTGAAATATTGTTTTATTTTCTTTTATGTTGTTTTCTTTTAACTTGTTTTCTCTTTTTTATGTTAGTTGTCTTTCTTGTTTTTGAATGAAAATAAAAAATTAAATTGACTGAATTAAAAAATGAGTGTGCGAGTAAGAGTCACGAGTGCGAGTAAAAAAATTCGAGTGCAAGTAAAAAAATTCGAGTGCAAGTAAAAATTGAGCCAAGAATGCTTGATATAAAAAGAGATGTTTTTAGGCATATTTTCTGCTTTCCACATCCTCCCCCAACTTCGCATTTGTCCTCAAATAGCCCTCTTAATTTGTTCACCAATCAATTCCAAGTCCTTTAGTGTTATACTCCCTTCACCCTTAATTTCGCATTTTTAGCTTGCTGGTATCACTTTCTTCATTACTTGGTATGTTCATTCAAACTATCGATCCCTTTTCAACTTGTCCTGCTATCGATATCGTGTTTATTCTCATCTTCAACACTTTTTGTAGTGTAATTGCTCTATTGTGACCTATCTACCCTTATCGAATCCAATCCATCTTATTATCAAGACGTTATCCCTTAACTCGTAGCCTGTGTTTTATTTACATTAATTGGTATGTTACTTTTAAAACCCCTAACAACACTTCCTTTTGTTCGCTGATTGTTTGACCCCTTTTAATTGTTTATTTATTAATCCACACAGTGTAATTACTCTTTTGTGTTACTGTAATCGAACGTGTTAAATAGCTCATTTGACTATTATCTAAACCCAGGTATGTCAGATTTACTTAACTCTTTATTCTGTTTTGATCCGTACATATGCTAATATTGTTTCTATCCTCCATTCTTGTATCTGCCTTTCATTTTACTCGTTGGTTCCCACCCAGGTATGTTCTGTTATGTTCAAATTTCCTTCTGTCTTTAACTAACTTGTATGTTCTCTAACCTTGGTGTTTTATGATTTATGTAGTGTAATACAATGGTACCTTACAAGCCTCATCCCACAAAGTGTGCTTGCTGCCTAGAGGATGATATCTCTTGCTCTTGGATTGTCTACAATTCCGCTCCTCGCTCAACTCGTTTACCTCCTCCTCTTGAAAGTTGTGACCAATGCGCCAAACGTGGCAGGTTCTGTGGTAAGTCCCTGTTTTCTGTTTACTCTTTATAACCTTGATTGTTACTGATGACCTTTAATATTTTGTTTGTATTATCCCCGTGTCTTCTTCCCCTCTCTCTTTATCTCTAGAATGGCCTCCCTTAACCAATTCCAACGGCGACATTCTTGTTGAGCCTCTTCTCTCGAACCCTTACGTTGCTGGTAACAAAAACAAGACTGCTGCTGAATGTCGTGCTCGCATCATGGCCTGGACTTCTAAACCCGACAAGCCTGCTGATCCTAATTTGCATTTAAAGTGGAGGGAAGACGTTCGAATGTGGAACAATTGGGGAAACGCTCCTCTTAATTTCACCCCAAACTCTAGTTCCTCTAATGCTAAACCTCACTATCATCCTTATCCTAAACCCCCAAAGTGTAAGCCTCACACGCCCAATCAACCACCTCCCCGAGCCTCACCTCCAGCTCTCAACCCATTTGTTACTCCTTTTGTACCAACTCGACCAAAATCACCTCCCGTCAAAGTTGAAGACCCTCCTCCTACTTTTTCTTCCAATGCTATTAATGTAGAATCTACCAATGTTGTTGATTTAGAACCAGAACCTGTTCCAAAAACCACTAACCCTGTTGAACCACCCCTAGATGCTGTGATTGAAGAATGTATTAAAAAATATGGTGATAAAGCTGTTCTTTTCTGGTTTGCTAAAAAAGTAGATTTATCTGAAGAAATTAGACGTGTAGGTAGATATGTTCCTTCTTCTTCCTCCGCCAATACCATTGCTAGTCTTACTCAACATATGGTAGAAAGCTTGTATGAACATTGGTCCGTCTTTGATCCTAACTCTGAAAAAGAGGTCCACGCTAGAGTCTGTCTTGTTCGAAGGTTGAAATCTCTTGTTGCTCATTTTATCATGCATCCTCCTTCTTCTGAACCTTCTAATCCTAGTACTTCTTCTTCTGACAAGGGTAAAAATTGTGCTTTCCATTAGGAATTTGTATTGTTTTTCTTTTGTTGTATTTCTATGACTTGTCTACTTATGTTGTACTTTTACCATTCTTTACTGCTTCTTGACTTGTGACTTGTGTTTTGGTTTCTTGTTAAATATTAAATCCAAAAAAATCTTCTGTATAATGTTGTAGTAGGAAAATCCCTTAGAAAAAATCGTGAATAATAATAAAGAACCAATTTTGTTGGAATGATTGTGAGTTCCCTTTTGACTTTCACTCTTTAAATTCTTGATCCACCTCCCCCAACTTAGATTAAAACCCACTATGTCCACCTTTATTTGATTTATACGACACATTTCAAACAGTAAACTTCCACGTCATACTAAATTAAATTATTCCACTAACTCCTTTCCGTCCACTTGTAACTATACTTATTTGATTTGTTGTCCATAATTCTTATTCCCGTAATTCAAACTAACTGAACCAATCCCCAAGTAACCTCTAAACTAGGCCTTGGCACTAATGTAATGCACACTGGAGTCTGTCCCGGATACTACTCGTACTATATTGCAAGAATATATGTACCAACTACCTTCAAAATTTTAAGCTATAAGTAAATATCCCAGAGTCGTGTTATCTTTTAATCCCTTACTAAGTTTCCAGTCCCTTATCAAAACCCGTCTACACCTCAGATAAAAATTTCCATAATAGTAATCATCATTGCTGTCCTACACAATCCAACCTCCTCATACACTCATACCACTTGTCCGCAACCCATACCAAAGAAAGAAAACAAGAAAGAAGATCATGCTGTAGTAGTAACCATTTTATATGTAATTTTATTGTAATTTTGCTGCTGCTTTGATTGAATTGTTGATAATGCGCAGCCTCTCCCCAAACACCCTACTACAGTCTTACTTTGATGTAAGTTAATATTTAACAACTTTGATTTGATACTTGTAACACTATATCCTAATACCAGCCAGCTAATCCACCATCCTCAACTACCAACTCCGTCCCCGTAGAACAGAAAAAAGATAAAAGAGAAACATAACCCGTACTCCGCGAAACCATTTTGATAGTAAAAGTGTTGTGATTTAAAAGGTTCTATGTGAAATTTATTTTTATGTAGTATTGAATGTAACTTATTTTAATAATTGATATTTGATTGATTCATTTTATCTTACTTCTTGTAATTTGATTTGATTGTATGTAATTTAATTCTGATTCATTTTGACTATCCATACCCGCCATCTATCCTCCATCCTCATCAACCTATACCAAACACCACCGGAAAAATAAAAGAAACTGATAAAGAGAAACTTGATTTATAATAACCATAACTAAAGAAAAAAAGAGAAAATTGTGAAAATTGTTTATAGCAGTAATCCATTAATGTTGTTTTATTGTTTAAGTTGACTGATTGTTGAATTTAATTTTGTAACTTATACCCATCCAGTGCCCCCTGCTATTGATTGACTTAATTTGAAGTATATGAAGAATAAAAGAAAAAGAGAAGAAAGAAAGAAAGAAAATTGATTTTAAGTAGTATTCCAAATTCAGCTTGATTGATTGAATGTTGAATTTTGATTTGATGATTGTTGCGCCCGCCCCGTACCCACTACTTTTGTTGTTTGATTTTGATAACTCTCCATCCTGCCAACATCCACCATCCTCAACTATCCTATCCCACACCGCCAAAGATAAAGAGAAAGTAATAATAAGAAAAAATCCACCGAACTACGCCCGCTTTAACACTAAATTCACCAATCCCATACAAATACAGTCCACCTTTAAAGAGAAACAAAGACACAAGAAAACACCCCAACATATACACACCGAACCAACACAAAAAAGAAAAAACTTTGAAGAGAATTATTTTTATTTATCTTATCCTGAACTTCCCGTACTTGCTGATTCCTCCTCTTGAAAATCTTCCTGCACTGAAACCCCTGAAACCCCTCTCGGAAAAAAACTCTTGATATGTTCAGCTGCCACCCGCCTGCTTAACACTGTCCCGTCCAATTCCTCCAAAATATAAGATCCTCCCGGATATTGTTCCTTCACCCTATAAGGCCCATTCCACCTATCCTTGAATAATTTCCCCCATTGGGATTCCAAGCTTTTGTTATACACTAAGACTAAATCCCCAGCCTCCAAAGCACCTCTTAACCTATGTGAGTTCTTCTTATCCCAATATATAATACCCTCCGTCCTTGTCTTCATCATCCTGTCATAAGCCTTCTTTAACATTTCATCCCTCTGTTCCAACTGCTCCACTCTTGCCATTAATAACTCCTCCCTGGTAGTAACTTTATCCCAATCCACCCCAAGAAAAGTCCCTACCTCAACGTCCACTGGTAAAATTGCTTTCTGATTGAAAAGAACTTCATAAGGTGAGAATCCAGTTGTCCTCTTAGTGGAAATCCTGTCTGAGAATAACACTAAAGGTAATTTCTCCGCCCACTTCCTTCCATCTTCACCGCACATTTTCACCAAGGTATTCTTCAACGGTTGGTGTCCACGCTCTACCATTCCTTCACCTTGCGGCCAATAAGCAGTAGCCTCCCCCATCTTTGATCCTGATAAACTCACTGCCTCTCTTAATTCTCCCTTAAATTCTGGCCCTCCATCTACTGTAAAACACTTCACCGCCCCATATCTCCAAATCCACTCTTTCAAAATGAAATCTGACACCACCTTTGAAGTTAACTTTTGTAAAGGTTTGGCTTCAACCCATCCTGAAAGATCATCTCTTGCCACAATCAAGTACTTATATTTACTAGTCTTAATGTGCACAGCATCTAGACTAACCCTTCCAAACACCATAGCTTCCCCGTAGCATGTCCTCTTTCCTTTTGAGTATTGGGACTTCTTCTTTGACAAGCTTCACAAGACATCACCCATCTTCTCACGTCTTCCTTCATCTCCGGCCACCAAAACCTAACTAAGCATCTTCTATAAGTTTCTTCTACACCTCTATGTCCCATCTCTTCATGTAATCTTTGTAACACTATCTCTTGACCTTCTTTTCTTGACACTACTAATCTTCCGCAAGGTATTCCCCTCTTCTTTAATCTTCCCCGCTCCATGAAGAAAGTCTTTGACCTATGTTGTATCCATTGAAAATCTTCATCAGAAAAATTTGGAGGTCTATGAAAACCTTTTAGATATTCTTCAAGTGATGCCCATAATCCTTCTTGAGTCCAAGGTATCATTTCATTATTATCATCAATAGTAGAAACTGGGAAACCCTCATGTGGAGTAATATCATCCTTTTCTTCATCAAAATCTTCTCCTTTGGACGTTGAATCTTCCCCGACTGGTCTTCGTGAAAGTCCATCTGGCATCCCAAAACTCTTTCCTGACTTATGAACAATATCAAAGGAAAATAATTGAATAAATGCCACCCATCTAGTCATTGGTGCATTTGGTAAAGTTGGCCTGTTGATCATTTCTACCAAAGACTTTGCGTCTACCTGAAGCTCAAAGTGTTGTCCCCACAAGTTGCTTTGGAATTTCTTAAGTATTCTTGCAACACCACATAGTTCTAGTTTGGGCTGGGAATATCTTGCTTCTACCGGTGAAAACACCAATGATTCGTAGAACACCGGCCTTGCCTTCCCTTGCTTATCTTCTTGCATCAATACACCTCCTGCTGCCATTTGACTTGAGTCTACCGCCAAGATAATTTTGCCTGCGCCTTCCCCATATTCCAATCCCTTCAACATAATATCTTCCCCAATAATTTGTTTCAGCTTATCCAAAGCTTCCTGACACTCTTCATCCCAATCCCATTCCACATCTTTCCTAGTCAACCTTCTCATAGGTGCTGCAATCTTAGAGAAGTCCTTAATAAACATCCTCACATATATGCACATTCCGAGAAATCCCAAAACCTCTGTAGTGTTTCTGGGAACCGGCCAATTCTGAATCTTGTTCTTCTTCTTCTTTGATATTGTCCTTCCCTCCTTACAGACCACATGTCCCACAATCTCCAATGCTGGCACACAAACTGCAAACTTCTTCCCTGAAACTGTAAGTCCCGCCTCTTCAATCCTAAACAAAACTCTTTCTAAAGTAACCGCATATTCCCATATGAAACGCCTAATGCCGGGATTTTCTTCCAGCCCTGCATCGCCATAGGTAGAATCAGGACCTTTGATTCCGCCGTCATCAATGAAGATACCTACATTCTGTGGAATTTCATCTTGAAGAATCCACATCATTTGAGCTTGATATACTGCTACTGAATTTGTTGCACCTTGAGGTAATCTAGTAAGTTGAAATCTTCCCAATGGTGTTTCAAAAGTTGTTAAGGGCCTTGAAAAATCTGCCAACTCTCTTTCATCATATCCTCCCATAATATCACCTAAGCCATAACATGCTCTCCCTGCAAATGATTCCACGAACTCTTCAGGTGCCGGAGGCATTCCCGCATCCTTGATGGTGACCTTATTCAATTCTTGTAAGTCATGGACCACTCTTAATTTACCATCCTGTTTCTTCACACAAAATACTGGGCTTGAATAGCTTGAGGTTGACTGTTCATACAATCCTGTCCTTAGCCGTTGTCTGATTAATTCAATGTATTCTGGTTTGATAGCCGCCGGAATCGGAATTGGCTTCTTCTGCCAAGGTTGATGGTCCACCACTGGAATGGCACAGGGAAATCCATAAGAATGCCTCAAAACACCCCTTTCTTCTTCACAATAAGCAATTGCCCCTTCCCTTAATACTACTACATGTAATAATAACTTCATCTCTTCATCACTTAACCAATCTTGAGGCCCAAAATTACACATCTTCAACCGCTCCAATGTTGTCTTCTTTGTCTCCACACATTCCAGAGGATTCATTGACAAAGGTGTTTCATATGGATCCCTTGACATTGGTGGTCTCTGTAAGGGTGGATTGAGACTTTGTGGCATAGCTGCATTGACCGTCTGGACCTTCTTCGCCACTGACTTGTACTTTGCCGCAAAACATAATAACTCTCCCCTCCTTCATCTCTCGCAAACCTCTGCTTGCTGCCTAATGT